TGCTGCTGACCATTGCGAAGAGCATCGACGATCAGTTCACTGTGTGCAACGAGCTGAAGGAGGCCACGGATCGCCTGGCCCCACCCAAGCCGAAGAAGTCGAAGAGGTCGAAGGACGCTGCCAAGGGAGATGAGGATTGAGCAGGCACGCGTGCCTCACTATCCTTGCACCTGAACGGTGCTCTTTTTCACGACCGAGTGCCGTCGGTCGAGCTCGGACCGGGGAAATGCGAGCGGAAAAAATGAAAACGAAAGCCCCAACAAAGGTTCCAAGGAGCCCAAAGGTTCCAATAAAATAGGCGCGTGAACAACTTAAGGTTCCAAAGGGGCCCAAACAAAAGCCCCCACCCGTTAAAAAGACAGCAAACCCCCAAACAAACGACGCCTTTCAACGGATCCCCAAGGGACTTCATGAGAGCCTCATGGTAGCATCTTGGTTTCCAAATGGGGAATTCTTGGGAACGGTTTAAAGGCCTCATGGGATCATGCGGAAAATGATGTCTTAAGGACCCTCTAGCCGTATTGGACTGTCTGGGGGGCTCTTGCAAAGGGTGCTCGCGTGGGGACTCGCGGGGAATCCTTGGAGGCCAACGCCACCACTACATCATCGCGGCAACGCGTGTGCACTCCAGGAACCTAGGCCGGATCCTTAGCCGTTTTGGCTCATGCACCGTGCCGAGCTCCATATCAGATCCGTCGTATCGGGCTTCACGTTGTCTCGCACTCAATGACCATTCACATGGTGTTATTCTTGGTGTTTCGTTTGGCTGTTTGCGTGCACTTCACATCGATGGGAAAACGTGGCATCCGTGAGAGGGTGATTGAAGAGGCCGCTGAGACATCACATCAGAGGCCACCTCTGGGAAAGCCTGATCGTCGAGGAGGCGTGCGGCAGCGAACGTCGGGAGCAGTGCCAGCCATCGGCAGTGGCCCCGCATCGCTGGGCCATGGCGTTCGGCAGGGGGATGCCAATCAAGCCGGCGAGCTGCGCCGAGGCCCAGCGCCGCCGACAGATTCATTGCGGCGCGACTGGGCCAGAGGGACGCTTCCAGCGAACAAGGTCTTGGAGTGCGGTTCTGGAGCTGCTGCACAGGGTGCCGAGGGCTTGGGCCGCCTAGGCAAAGTACCCGACGACCCTAAGCATGCCAATAGAAATCTCATTCGCGCGCTTGGGTGGCCCTGTGGCGCTCCAGAGTTTCAGTGGATCAACGCTTCAGCTCCTGGCGATCGACCGAAAGCACACCCTGTGGTTGATCCTCGCTGCATGTTCGAAAGCATCGCCAAGACTGGCGACGACAAGTTCAACATGAAGCTTCGCGGCCTCTTCGGAGACACCAATGAGTTTTGGGAAGAGTTCAAAGGCCATGTGATCTACCAATCAGCTCGGGAACACATCGACCATACATATTCAATGCCGCTGACGATTCATGGGGGCGGCGCAGCCACTCACAAGACTGAGGGGCGCTTTACGATCAGTTGGACGAGCCTTTTAGCCAAGGGAGACACTAGGTCGACTCACTTTATTTACACTGTTATTCAGAAGTCCGAGATTCATACAGGAACTCTTGAGATTTTGTTTGCTGACCTTGCCGAGCGAATGAACAAATTGATGAATGGCGCGCGTGGGGATGGCGCACCGTTGCGCGCCAGGGGTTACAAAGGTGTTGCGATCATGCTTCGCGGTGACAGGGAATTCTTTACTCAAGCACTTGGGTTTCCACGTTGGGACTCGTCTCCGAATTTGTGCTGGATGTGCTCTGCATCTAATGCAATGGATTCGCCTTTATGCTGGACGAAGGGTGCTTGGCGCAATACGATGAGAACCCACGAAGACTACATCAACGGTCTTCGAGCGCAGGGCGTGCCAGTGCCTGCGCTGTTTCGAATCATTTCGCTGGGGATGGAGGGTATTGCGCTCGATTGTCTCCACGTCCTGGACCAAGGTATATCGTCTCATATTATCGCAAACGCTCTAGTGGAAATCATGGGCCAATGGGGCGGTAACCATCAACGGCAGGCTCACCTCCTTGAGAATGATTTCGAAGCATGGTATGCCATTCATCGCGATGCTGCAAAAATCCAGGGGAAGCTCACGTACGAGAGACTCAAGACATCGAACGACTGGCCAAAACTAAAGGCCAAAGGAGCGGCCACTCGGCACTTGGCTGCGTATGCCGCTCACGTCACCGCATTGTATAATAGGAACGACTTACACGACAACCGCAGGCGTGCCATCTGTCGCCTGCTGCACCGTTTTTACCATATTATTGCTGAGGGGCCGAGGCGCCTCAGAGATGAGGCCAAGAAGGAAATCAACACGCTGTCGCGATACCTGGTGCAGCTTTACATCAACCTTGCAGACGAAGCTCTGCAGAATCGGCAACGGATGTGGAAGATGACTGCGAAATGCCATGCGTTCGAGCACCTCTGCGAGATTCAAGCATGCGACCTGATCAATCCAGAATACACTTGGAACTATGCTCCAGAGGATTTGCAGAGAAGGACGAAGGACATTGCGTTGATTTGCCACAAATGGAACGCACCATACCTGATCATATTCAAGTGGTTGACTGATGCATTCGATGATTTCGTCGATTGAGGTTTCGCCGTTTGGGCGAAGCGCTGGTGAACAAAAACATCATCAACATCACATCGGCGCGAGGAAGGGGTGAGGGAGGGAGGGAGGGGGAGGGGAAGAGGGAGAGAGGGAGGAGAGGAGGGGAAGGAGAAGGGAGAATGTGAGAGAGAGAGAGAGAGAGAGAGAGAGAAGGAGGGGAGGAGGGAGGGAGGGAGGGAAGGAGGGAGGGGAAAAGGGAGGGAAGGAGGGGGGGAGGGATTGGAGGGGAGGAAGCCGTCTCATGTCCACTCCTCCTTCTCCCTCTTTTCTTCTCCTGCTGGTGGTGCTGCTGCTCCTCCTCCTTCTCCTCCGCCTATAACTCTCATCAGCTGTTGCTGCCCCTCCTCCGCCACCCCGCCCACCCCGCATAGACGCGGGGAAAAGGCGTCAGAACATGCGTGCGTCAACTTATGAGAATTGGCGCTCCTCGTTCCAAGATGCAAGAGCAGGTGCTCGAATTGAATCGGGTGCTACACTCTTGGCGCTCATGGGTGGTTGGGGAGTGCCCTGAGTGTGGCGGCCTTGTCGATTTTCGACTCTCCCACAGCACCTGCTGTGCCAAGGCCGAGCGCACCAAGGGGCACTACGTTGTAGTCCGCGCCGTGTTCGAGCGCATGCACGAGGTCGACAGCGGGGCCTCGCTCGAGCAGAGGGGCCTGGTGGAGGCGGAGCCCGGCGCTCGGCCTGGCGACATCTTCGCGACAGCGGCAGTGCCGAACCGCGAGGCCGCAATGGACGTGGCGATAGTTAGCCCAGAGGCCACCGCCGCTGGCCGATTGCGTGGCGACCGCCCATCGCGGCAAGATCGAGCGGTACCGCGTCGCAGTCGCCGAGTGGAAGGGCGCGGGCCCGTGCTTGCAGCCGCTGGTCTGGTCCTGCGAGGGCCGCGCCCACCCCGACGTCGAGCGGGTCATGGCCTTCTGCGCCAAGGCCCTCGCGCGGAGAGCGAGCGCGAACCCCAGGGACGTGCTCCGGCGCTGGAGGGCCGACATCGGGGTGGCCCTCGCTGCGCGGCGCGCAAGGATTGCGCGGCGCTGCCTGCCAGCGCACGCCGCCCGCGCCTCCTGGGTCGTCCACGGGCTGGTCGGCGACGAGGCTGGGGGCAAGCGCGCGGCCCAGGGCGCCCTCGGCGACTACCTGGCCGGCGCGGACGAAGCGCCGGCGGCGGAGTAGGCTTCTCGGCGCCCCCTGTCGCGCGGCGGCGCGATGGTTTAGCTACGGAATTCGCGCAGGTTTTCTTCGAATCTTTGATCTAGCCAGACAGTGGAGTGCATCACTTGTTGTGTCTATCGTTCCAGCACCCCCCCTCGCTGCTCCTCTGCGTTGCTTCTCTCCCGTCGCCGTCGTCGTCGTCGTCGTTCTCTCCCCCTGCTCTCCTGGTTCTTCTGGCTCCGTGGCCTCCCCCCCCTTCTCCCCCCCGCCTCCGCGGGTGCCCCTTGCTCTGTCGTCGTGTCGTTCGTCTCTCTCCTCCCTCTCCTGGGGGGTGCTGGTCAGCGCGTGAGGCTAGCATTTACGGACCCGTCTGCGTCCAGAACGTTCCGGGGGCATTCCGCCGGAACGTTCTGAGAACATTTTGGTCTCACGGGCCCGTCGGCGTCCAGAACGTTTTGGGAACCTTCCGGATGTTTGTGGGGCCTGCGTGAGCGGCGGGAATCTTTATAGGGAGCCCAGAGCTTTCATAGCCACTTCTGGCGCGGTCGCGTTGAATGCTCTGGGCCTCCAAGGCGAGTCTCTTGAGAGCAGTATCAGTGCAAGGATGTGACCGGTGCCCTTTTCTAGTCGGCTGGAAGATTAAAGGAAGAAAAAAAAACACATCGCCGGTGCATCGGCGATTCGGCGATGCGTCGTGATCCCCCGACCCAGTCTACTCCGACCCCATCTGGGAGGCCTCTAGCACGCGCGCGTGCGCACATGCGGGACGCGCCTGTACTTGCGCGCCCGTGCCCGCTCATGCACCAGCCAGACAGCCTCGCACCGGAAAGCGCCGACGGGAGGTTGCCAGCCGTTGTCGGCCGCCGGGGGCCCTCACCTTTCGGGGACCGTCAAAGGGGTCCAGACTTTTGGGGGTTCCACGTGGGCGACAAAAAAACGGGGTTCAATTGCGCTGGCATTGGCGCGTAAGCTCCCCGCCTAAGTTTGGTCGCGCGTAAGCGCCCTCGTTTCCGATGTGGCGTGAAGCGTTGGCGGCTCGCGTACACCACCGCCCAAGGTCGCTGTGTCATCTCGCAGAAGATCCGTTTTTGATCGCCGCTCATGTGGCGAAGCAACACGACGTCGGCTGGGGAGCAGGCGCGGGGGCCTGGGCGCTTACAGACGTACGCCCGCGCGGCACTCACTGCTGCGGGCGAGCGTGCTTGTATATGCTTCCGAGCTTCCTTCCCCAGGAGCTGGGGCCATGATGCGCGAAACTCCTGCTTCAGCGCCCGTGGCGGCCTCAGTGTCCTCCTTTCGTCTGCTTGGGAGCTCCGCTCTTTTCTTTGGCCTTTCCGCACCACTTCGGGACGTCGACGTTTGTTTCAGGGAGTTGGCCATGGCGTCTTAGGCAAACGCCTTTCAATCACACTCGTGCTTGTAGTCAGTTGGCCATGGGTGTCTAGGCCCCAGCAGCCGCCACCTCTACCAGAGGGTGGTTGCCGACGCCGCCGTGCGGGCTCTTGCCGTGGCATTTGTGGCTGGCAAGCGAGGCGTGCGAGACCTTGCTCTGACAGATCACCGTTACACCCACCAGCCCCACACCACCACTCCCGTCCCCCTCCCTCTCTCCCCCCTTTCTCCAATGAGTACACCTACACCGAGGCTTGCCAGGCCAATCCTGGACTCAGGATCTGCGGAGACGCGGAGTATCGTCGCGTTGGCAGTCAAGATGGTACCAATGATCGCGATGGCGATTGCAAGGACGGGCACGTTGACGGCGAAAACGGCGTCGTTCGTTGCGCTTCAAGGTCCCGCGCTCACTTACTGGCTTGCCTTGGCAAGGCGGAGACCTATGCGGACACATTTTGATTGATGAGGACGTCTCAAGCGAAGCGGATATGATGGCGCTGAACGCATGAAGAAACGTAGCGGGAAGTTGGGAAGTTGGCAGGATACCGTTTTGGAAGCCGTTCATGGCAAAGGAAGTCTGAGGCGAGAGTTGCATGTTCGTATGTTTCGACCGTACCTTTGGATCAGTGTGCAGAACGGTGCCACCCCCCCCGCTCAGGGGCCTGCGCCATCGTGCGACCCCGTCCGCCAGGCCCACGCTGCCAAGGGGCGCACGCACGCCCTTCCCCGGTGGCCCCGCGTCGCGGAATAAGTCACGCCTGGGGCTTTCGACCCCACTTGCCTTTTGTGTTTCTCAAGCCTGATCGATCCGCGAGGACTCCAGGGCCCGAGACCGTGCGGAAGCGTCAGGTCCGACAACAAATCGATGCCTCGATCTTAGTGGCAGATGCGCTCGAAGGCCCCGCGGAGGTCGAAGCGAATCGAAACACAAACCTTCACTTGCTTGTGGCGATGGAATTTGGTATTCTTGGGTCCTAGGGGTTAGGGGGTGGGGAAAAGATCAGGGTTGGGATGCCGAGCGGCCTTACACCATCCCTGGGTGCGTGGATGAAGTGGGAGTCCGTGGCCTAGATTCGGCGTGTTATTTAATCGCTTCGCTCATTCCGCCGGCCCATAATGTCGCACCGTGGTCGCCTGTCCGAGTGGTCGTTTGCAGTGTGGAGCTGCGGCGTCGGGAGCTGTGTAGTGTTGGGGGCGTTCTTGGGGCCCTCTTGGGCCGTCCTGGAGGCCTCCAGGGCCGTCTTGGAGCCGTCTTGGGCCGTCTTGGGGCCCTTTTGAGGCCCTCTTGGGCCCTCTTGGGGCGATCTTGGAGGCCTCTTGAGCCGTTCAGGGGCGTCGGGGAACCGAAAAGGTTAAAACGCCCAAATCTGTCCAACACCAAAGGAAAAGCACAGGTGTTTGCCTCTTGGGGCCCTCTTGGGAGTTCTCTTGGAGGCCTCTTGGGGCATCTTGGAGGCTTCTTGGGCCATCTTGGAGACGTCTTGGACCGTCCGGAGGCCATCTTGGGCGTCGTCGAGCGATCTTCGGGAGTCTCGGACCTCTCTTGGACCGTGTTGGGGGCGTTCTTGGGGCCCTCTTGGGCCGTCTTGGAGGCCTCTGGGGCCGTCTTGGAGCCGTCTTGGGCCGTCTTGGGGCCCTTTTGAGGCCCTCTTGGGCCCTCTTGGGGCGATCTTGGAGGCCTCTTGAGCCGTTTAGGGGCGTCGGGGAACCGAAAAGGTTGAAACGCCCAAGTCTGTCCAAAACTTAAGAAAAAGCATTGATTTTTGCCTCTTGGGGCCCTCTTGGGAGTGCTCCTGGAGGTCTCTTGGGGCATCTTGGAGGCTTGTTGGGTCATCTTGGAGACGTCTTGGGCCGTCTGGAGGCCATCTTGGGCGCCGTGGAGCGATCTTCGGGCGTCTCGGACCTCTCTTGGACCGTGTTGGGGGCCTCTTGGGGCCCTCTTGGGGCGATCCTGGAGGATCTGGGGGACCTTCGGTGAACCTAGTGCTTTCCCAATTAAAGTGCTTCTCCCCGGGCTCGCTCCCTTTTTTTACAAGTGGCAGTCTTGGACCTCAAATTGCGCCGCTGGCCCCCGAAATACAACAACGGTTCCTGCCTGTTACTTCCCCACAAGTTCTGTCCAAATCGCGCTCTCGCGCAGGACGTCCTCAGAATGCTCCAGAAATCGCGCTCTGGCGTGGCATCTCCCCACAATTTTGTTGTGGTGATGTGGGGTGGGGTGTCCGGCGCCTCGGGCCCATGGTCTGACAGCCCCGCGAGGGGCCCGAAAAACGGCCTCGAAACGCCGAGCGTGAGGAGACAAGGCTCCTGGACTCAGACGACCGACCGTCCGTCGCCTGGAGGGTTCAGGAGAAGGCCGCCGTTTCTCTTATGCATTGTTTCGCAGATCGGCGCGGGCCCCGGGCCTCCCCCCCTCCAAAGACCGGATCTTGGCTGCTTTTGGCAACCGGTCTGGACCCCTTCCCCTTAAGTCTGCTGGCGCGACTGGTAAGAGCAGATCGACTGGGCATCGGCCCAGACGCAGACCCCCCCCTCTCCCAATCGTCGGTCAAATGTCGAAACAACCGGCCCTCGGAAAAAAGGGTCGAGCGCAAAGAAGGTCGGCTCACAACCTCCGCTGCCCTACACCTCCCCTCTCCTGGGGCACTCGACCCCATGTGCATCCAGCATCTCTTAGGCCAGATCCATCGGCGAGGGCACCAGGGCCCGAAAAACCGTGCGGAAGCGCAAGGTGCGACAACAGACTGAGGCCTCGACCTCGGTGGCAGCTACGCTCGAAGGCCCCGCGGAGATCGAACGCCAAAAGGGTCGGCCCAGAGCCCCGCCCCTCCCCCGGACTGAAAGCCTCCCCTCTCCCTGGGGGAGTTTGACCTCGTTTGCATCCAGCATGTCTCAAAGCCAGGCCGATCCGCGAGGGCCGAATGCGCAGGGTGGGCTCACAACTCCTTCTGCCCTACAACCTCCCCTCTCTTCCGTCGCCACATGTTTTTCGTCGTGGCGTGGGCCTTTCCAGGGGGCCTCGCAGAGCCCTTAATCCCCAAGGAGCCAGCTGCTCCTCCTGGACCGTCCTTGCCCTCCTCCTGCCCAGGGGCTTCGTGAGACTGCCCCCACCTCCTCCTCCTCCTCCTCCTCCTCCACCTTCTCCTCCCCCTCCTTCTCCTCCTCCTCCTCCTCCTCCTCAAGACGCAACAGTCAGGTTGGCGTTGGAATCCCGAGAATGGTGTTTTGGCACGCTTCAGTGTCCTCAAGCGGTTGTCGCCCAACGGGGCACGTCCTTCATTGGAAATGAATCTGTGCAGGGGCCTATGATTATGAACAGGGAGCGTGGTGGGGGGGTTCTTGCAACATCGTTGATGGGTCTTGGTCGTACACTGGTCCTCCGCCTCGTGGGGGCCTCGGCCCTTTCCCCGGGGCCGTCGGTTCATCCTGGACCGTCCGAGCTCCTGCCCCAGGGCTGGGTGGCGGCCCTCAGAGGCGGTCGCCGAGTCATGCGGGGCGGGGGCGATGAATGTGGGGGGGGGGGGAAGCCAGGAGATCCGACGCTCCGATAAATTAGGGGCGTGTGGTTTTTGGCCGTCTTCTGCCTCTGGGGGCCCTCGCCAGGCCTCGGGAGCGACAAGAAACGACTCGGAACGAAGAACTGGCCCCAGGGAAGTAGTTCGGACCTCCGGGGCCCATGCATCGAAAATATTTGAGCGGCCGGATGTCTGGCACCTTTCGTGCTCCTTTTGGGTCCGTATAGGGCCCTTTGGAGCTTCGTTTGGGCACAAGAGTTGTATCTCCCTCCCCATTCATTTTTACCCCCCCCTCCTTGAATGAACTCCCGACAAAGGCCACAAAGCTGTAAAAAAAATGCCGCCGTGACTTTGGCGTTTCCACGATCTGAGGGCCCTGGGATCCGACGTTGCACAAACAAAATGCAACATCGCGAAAAATCATGCCTGTAGCCCTTTTGACCCCATCTTCCTGCGCTGGGGCCCCCCAGGCCGAAACTGGACAAAAACGCCCGTTGTGAAGAAATTGCAACGCCCAGATCTCAGGTCGATGATCCTCAGGACGCGTGTTAGCCCAATGTGTGTTCTCCTCGTTGAGTTCCGATGGCACGCAGTCTGTGTCGGCCTTCATGGCACCGCCTGCGTCGTGTTGAAGGGCTCCGGTGTGCAAACACTGGCGCTAACACACGTTCCGAAAGAAAGTCTCCCGGACGGAGCTAGGACGACGATAAATCCGTTCCAGAGCGTTCCAGAACGCTTTCAGAAAGATCTGGAACGCTCTGAGAAGGCTGCGGCGCCCGAGGCATCTTCCAAGCCCGCCGATCCTCCGAGATTCTCGGTCTATGTCGGTTCGATTTTGCCTCGATTCTGCCTTCGTCCTAGACCATCGATCAGGGTAGGTACTGCGTCGCCCAGATTTGAGGGACGTCTGCCTGCCTCGGACGGGGCTAGGACGAGGATCAATGATAAATCCGTTCCAGAGCTTCCAGGAACGCTCTCAGAGTGGTCCGGAACGCTCTGAGGAGGCCGCAGCGCCGGAGACATCCTCCAGAGCCCGCCGATTCACAGAGATTTCCGATTTATCCTCGCCCGATCTTATCCGCGCCACAGAGGCTCCGACCCACTCACTGGACCGTTTTTTCATCCGGACTCGATGTTTGACAGTCCCGAGGCCCAGTACGGGCCCCCAGAGGCCGAAAATGGTGAAAAGTTCTCCGTCGTGATCTTTCCCCCTGACCCCGAAGGGGCCTGGCCTCTGCGTCGCCCAGATCGGAGGGAAGTCTGCCCCGGCGCGGCCGACCCGCCGCCCGCCCAGCCGCCGCTGCGGGCCCCCGCCGAGGCGGCGAGGCCCGCGCCCAGGCGGCCCGAGGCGGCCCCCGCGCGGCCCACCCCCGGCGGGCCGCGGGCTCCCCGCGAGCAGCCGCAGACGGCGCTGGCCAGCGAGGCCCCCCGCGACCGACGACGAGCGTGGCGGGGAAGTTTCGGCGTCGCTGGTTAGAGCCGACGCTCCGAGCATCATTGGAGCGCGCGGTTTTTGGCCGTCTTCGAGGGTGGGAGGGTTTCTGCCAACACCCTTGATGAGCATACATTGGTCCTCCTCCTTTCTTGGTGAAACCGCGGGATCGAGTGGTCCTCCTTCTACTCCTCCTTCTCCTCCTCCTCCTCCTCCTCCTCCTCCTCCTCCTCCTTAGCTGCCGCCCCTGCTCGAGAGGTTTTGGGAGCTGTACCAGGTACAGCGAACCTCTCACGAGGGGCGGGCGGCCTCGCGCGCTGGCCCGCGCCGCCCTGCGCGGCTCGGCGGCCTGGGCCTGGGCCGCGATTGCTGCTGGCGGCACGCCGCGGGGTTCCCGCTCGCCGCGGGCTCTCGAGCGGCCCAGCGGCCGCGGAGGAGAGCCAGCGTGGCACCGCCGTGATCGGCAGGCCCGCGCCAGTGCTCGCGTGCTGCTACGAGTTGTCAGTGCAGTGCAGCGGCTACGAGAGCACCACAGTTCGATGTCGTGGCAACATCGGGGAGGTAAAGGTGGCGGCATGGGCAATGGCAAGGGCAAGCAGGTCGGGCCCGTTCCCCCCCCGCCGCCAGCGTGGTGGTGCGAGCAGCGCGGGGAGCCCAACATGATGCAGGATAGATTGTGCCGAGTGTGTTTCCCAATGCCTGCCCAGGCGCCGTGGGCCAGTGGCGGGCCACTGCAGCAGACGTCAGGCAGAAGACAGCAGACGCCTACCCCGCAGGCAAATCGGCGTGCCAGATCGTCGGGTGGAGCGGCTGGTCGAAGTCAGCACGGAGAACGTACCGATCGCGATCGACGTAGATGGCGTGGTCGTTGTCAGCAGGGAGAACGTACAGAGCCTCAGAGCCTGAGGCTGCGGGTGACACACATCCGCGGAGGCCGGCGCCGACGCCTGAGCCCGAGGCGGAGGCTGCGCCTGAACCTGAGGCTAGCAGAGGCCGCTCGACGTCTGGGCCCAGGCGGACAAGAGCCTCGCGTCGGTCAAGGTCGGCGGATGTCACGTTCGAGGAGAGTGAGGTCGAGGAGGCCACGGACACGGAGGACTCAGCGGCGCTCCAGCCACTCGGTGTGCTGCCAGCGCTCCCTGAGGATGCCAAGGCGCACCCCTCCTGGCTGGAGCCGCCCCGCAATGAGGAAGCAGTGCAGGTGCACAGGAGGCATTTGCGGCGCCTCGCCATCGCCTCTGCCAAGAAGTTGCGTGCAAGTCGGCAGCTTGGGTATCCTGAGAGCGTGATCAACGATCTGGCGCAGGAATATGCAGTCCTCATGACCATGATCATAGTGTGCAGATCGCCGACCGCCAGGCTCCAGCACCAGCGTGCCTTCGCGGAGCGGGCCGAGAAGAGGATGAGACGGGCACAGGATGACGCTGATGAGGCAAAGGCTACCCTCGTGCACAAGACAGGCGTCCTGTCCCTGCGCTCCAGTGAGCTGGCACGGGCGCAGCTGCTGCTACGCCAATTGGAGACGCACTACCCAGAGCCGAACAGCGATGCCACGATGTCTCCAACGGCAGCCGCCGATGGTGATACCGGCGCAGCCACGCCGCCAGCAGGTGCGTCGCCGAGGGGAGGCCGCCCAGCAGACGCGATGACGTCGGGCTCGGTTGCCGCCATCGCCGAGCTCCAGCAGGGCCAGGTGAACATGGCGCAGCAGTTGGCGGGGCTGTCGTCGGTGCTTGGCGGGCTGCAGGCGGCGCTGGGGCAGCTCGCAGCGGGCGCGGCGCAGACGCAGCAGCCTCCAGCAGGCGCGACAGCAGTGCCAGTGCGGGAGGCCGAGGTGGCGGCGACGCCAGGCCCGACCGCGCCCGTGGCGGTGTCGGGCGTGCCCATCCTGACAGAGGCCCAGCCGCGGGCCGCAGCAGAGCTGCAGGCAGATGTCGATGGTGGACATGGTGTGCCTGTGCCAGAGGATGCTGATGACGACGTGGCTTCCAACGACTGGGGGGCCAAGAAGGCTGCCCGATCGGCCCGCGCCAAGGCAGCTGCCGAGCGCCGCGCCGAGGCTGCCGAGGAGGAGCGCCGCGCCATGCGGGCAAGAGGCATCGCAGGCCCAGGGCAGCCAACCATTGTGGCGGCCATGGCCTCGGCGGTCAGCGGGGCGTCACCGTCGCCGAAGTCAAGCAGCGCGGGGCCGCGCGTGGTTCTTGGAGACGAGCGCCCGATGCCAAGGGGGCGCGATGAGGCAGCCCGCAGTTCAGAAGTGGAAAGGGATCGAAGCCCCAGACGATCCCACGAGGGACATGGGGAGGACTTGTTTTCACAGGGGTGAGTTTCCCTGCGGAGGTGGACAGCGCCAGTGGGGATCGGCCGCTTTGGCCCAGCGCGCGTCACCTCCACAAGGGCGGCAGGGCCAATCGCACAGTTCTGTCTTGCCGCAAAGTCCATTTCCAGATTGCACCAGGCTCGTGGATGAGCTATCCGAGCCTGCCGCGGCACTGTCTCTTGCGCATATTTTCTCAGTGTCCACAGAAGAGTGCGAGTTGCCTTGCCTTTTCTCGCATCGCCTCCATTCTTCCACGCGCTGCTTCTTGCAGAATGTTGTTGCAGATTGCCAGCGCGCATCGATCGACGATTCGCAATTGCACAGACTGGATGTGTACACGGATGGATCTGGGGGTTCAGCATGCGGAGTATGGAGGACCCCCATCGCGGGCCTTTGTGGTGTGTGGCGTCGCTCAGGACCACCGCTGTCGGATCGAGGGGTACCTGGCAGGGACTGCCCCCAGCCTTCAGGAGGAGTATGTTAGTGCTTCTGGCCCCGCGGAGTTCCATGCTGCTCTATGTTTTGTGTGTTGGATGCTGCAGGCCCCCGACAAATATCGTAGACTGCCAGTCTTTGTTTACACAGATAACATGATGGTGGTTGACACGGCCAAGGGAGGTGTGAGGTATGAGTCGCGTGGGCAGTTGCCTGTGTACATGGATGCACTTGTTGAGGTTTTGCGCGCGCGGCAGCATGTCACGTGGTCGCACGTCTCTGGACACTCAGCACATCCCCTGGCACGACTGGCTTCAATGAAGGAAGTATGCCCAGATACAGGTACGAGGGCCCCGTGGGAACCGCCATTCAGGTCAGCGGCGGAAGTGCCATGGATGTGGATGTCCGCCTGTATTGACAACCTCGCGCGGGAGTTTCCGCGGGCGCACCCCGCGAGCCTGGAGAGCATGGCTGGCCCCGAGGTGTCCCCTCTTGAGGCCCTTGTGACTCCTTTGGCCCCTTCCCGCTCCGCCGTCCACGGCAGTCTCGGAAGTTGGACGGACTGACGGCCCCGTTGCTCGAGCCTGTCTCCTAAGGTTTGCGGTAGCCAACGCCCTCACCCTTCGACCGAGGAAACGACCCAGCAGGAAAGGAGGTTCACGATTACGATGTGCATACCGCGACGCTGGGGGGATTGACATACCTGGACGGATGCTGTCGCTGGCGTATCAGTTCTGATTGTGTGCGTATCTATGTGTGGGTACACTTGAGACGCGTCTCAGACATAGAACGTGGCGTAGTGCGCAGGACTGCTTTGTAATCACGTCGTCTGCCGAGCCATCAGGTTCATATGGGGTAGCCCTATGGATCAACACAGTTATTCAGTATATACCAGGGTGCACGCTTGAACGCAGGCATGTACGCGTGCTGTCGCATGACGCTCGGTATCTACTTGCAGCCGTACGTACGCCACACTTACGGATAGACATATTGGTAGCACATGCGCCACATGCACGCTCGAGTGCGGGTTTGTCGAGTGTTGTTGAATGGTGGGCTCGGTTGCAGCGGATTGTGCGTGATAGGCCAAATCTTGAGCAGCTGTGCTGTCTTGTGGATGCCAATGCAACGGTGGGCTCGGTACAGTCGGAGTACGTCGGGCCTATAGGTGCAGAGCCAGAGAACGACACGGGCGCGTTGTTTCACGAATGTTTGAGGCACACTGAGCAGGTTGCTGCGTCGACGTTCGTGCAGCCCTTCTCGGGGACACATGGCACATGGCTGCCGCCGGGCGCGTCGCCTCAGGACCCTCGCAGGAGGATGGACTACATCATTGTACCTCAAGCCTCTCTCAACGTCGTCTCTCGTCAAGGGGTCGATCCGTCGGTTGATCTGTCTATGAGGGCGGATGACCACTTTGCGGTCACAGCAGATGTTTGGCATACTGCCGAGGCAGAGGGTCCAGAGGCCCAGTCGAGCACCAAAATCTCACACGACCCCGCCAAGTTTCGAGACCCCGAGTGTGCCCAGATGTTCGTTCAGAAGCTATGTCAGATCCCACATCCCATTTTCGGATGTCACCCAGACGACCATGCTCATCAGCTAAATGCAGAGGTGAGTAGAGCAGTCAAGAAGTGTTTTCCTGTCCAGCAGTCGGCTCAGGGACGGATGCCTCGACAGTCTTGGGTTTCACAAAGATCGTTGACGATGATGGATCATCGAGCAGATGGTCGTAAAGCCCTGCGTTGGCTCCGACAGAGGCTTAACATGCTCCTGCTAGCGACGGTTTTCAGTGCATGGGCTGCTGATGGGAAGGAGGTGGAGGAGTGGTTCAACTCTAGGAGGTGTGAGTGGCAGTGGTCAGTACGTGAGTGTCCCTCGCATGCTCTCCGACATGCCGCGTGCAATGCTGTAGTCAGTGCAGGGCAGTCTGTGTTGGAGTCGGCTATGCACTTCACCGGTCCTCTGCAGGATGCTAGGGGGCGTACAGTACTCCCGCCATTTCTATCTAATCATCTGTCGTCGCTATGGCGACTATGTCGTATGCCAGCTACACCACAAGGGTTCAGCCTTGTATGTCACGGCATGCCATTGGTGGGAATCCCACGTGATTTGTACGTGCTCCAGGGCCTTATCCCCTTGTTCTGGAAATGGCAAGGGCTACTGTGGGCCTTCACGTACGTGTTTCTCCGTGCCACTGCGTTCGTCATCAACAAGTCTGCGAGTGTGGACGCAGCTGTATACTATGACACGATAGTACTAGACATTCAGGACGCGTGGTCGCACAAGCAAT